CCGCATTCCCCTACCACACGTCTCGGTCTTACCCATAAGTATGTATTTGCATCGATACATGTTTAGCATACTTATATGTGTATTAGTCTAATTGTTTCACAACCAAAGCAGTCGCCGCTATACCCAGCGCTATGAAGGTCAGTTCACGGTCCATTTGTCCCTTGGATGGTGTGTAGTACTGAGCGAGTGTTGGCTTCTGTAGTGGCTCCAATCGTTTACCAGTTAATAAGTAGTATTGTCTCGCTGCGTCGTCGACATCATGGAATGTTTGAACGGCATGGTTTTCACGCCTGAGTTGTTCGTTAATGTAATCGATCCGCTGGAGGCGTTGTTTAGCGTACTCGGATTGTGCTGCCTGTAATTTCTCAATAGCGAGATTATGGCGCTTTCTTTCTTCCTGTATTTCAGCCGCGTGTGACTCTCGTAGTTTAGAGAAGAGGAAATTACTCCCGGAAAATGCCAGGGCATTCACTAACGCACCACCGACCATCATAGCAATCGTAGCCATCCTTATATTTATTTCATAATATCTTCAGGTATTATTCCTTGTTTTACTAGGATGTCTTTTGTGGCCATCGCCATACCAAGGTTCATTATTAGCATACCCATATCCTGCAGGTTGAAATCTAGCTTGATAGTTGGTTGTTTAAAGCACCATTTTGGTCAACCAGGCGTATCCTACGGCTAGACTGGCGACCACTGTGGCGTGGTATGCGTCGTTGACGAACGTTTTCCCCTCAGACATTATGTATATGATATAAAAATATATATTTTATTGCATGATATGCGGGTTGACCTTTAATTCCGGGGGTGTAGGGAGACCCTCACCGTCGTCGTATATAACCACGAGATAGCCACGGCTGCAGTTGCGCATACAACCAACAATAATCGAGACGGGTGGGTCACCTTGATAATTTTATGTTGGTTACACCACCGTTTTACCGGCAGCTACTCTCTTAGGATTCTTCTGCCTGGTGACTGTGGGAGGGTCACCTCAGTTCGGGAGAAGTTCACCTCAGTTGGGGGTTTCCCCAACGTGGGGGTCTCCACCGTCTCCTCTGAAGGGGTCTGGGTCTAATTGCAGCATCCATCTATACTATTATTATTATTTTTCCTCTCAAATTGACAATGCTTTGCTGTGATAATCGCCATGTCGTCACCAGGGCTAACAACATACCGTATTTGTGGTACAGCTCGCAGCTAATGGGAGCTCAAGGCGTGTTCGATAAAGGGTCTTTCTCGAGTCTTCCCCAGGTAAAGTCGACGCTCCGGGGGATGGGAAGGGAAGTATGACGCAATACCAGTGTATATCTGGGTCATAGCCGATCCTATTGTTTTTGTCATCTCTGCACCTAGTCTAGCCTCGTCGTATTTAGCGTACAGCTTATCGATTTCTTCGGCTGACATTTTGTAGAATTTTATCCGGAGTGTACTCCCCAAAGTAATGTTTGGCTTTGCCTGGCAACAGCCAACGCCACCAGTTTCTCTCGCTTATCATCATCCACCTGTGGTGATTGGGGGTATTAACAGTTGCTCTAACAATTCCTCACCTCCATCTTATAATGTGATAAGTAAGTTTTAGTTTTAACTATATAATATACGATATAAGCGAAACACAGAGAAATAAAGGTTAAGTTGCACACGACAAACACTTCAAATGCCATAGCTATAACTAAATGCTAAGTATTTATACTAAGCATTGCTAAGCATTTGCTAAGCATTGTTAAGAATTTACTAAGCATTGCTAAGCATTGCTAAGCATTGCTAAGCTAAAACACACTATAGGCTACTGGTTGGTCTGTCTTAAGCACGAGCTTAGCGTGTTTAGTTTCAGCGAGCTGTTTCTTCACCCGTTCCCGTTCTAATTTGCTCATCACATCGTTCTCCTCGCAAACCTCCTCGAGACGAATCCCTGTCCTTGCGGTGAAATAAGGCCACCCATCGCGTCTGCTCCCTGAGGTCTTTCAACGCACCGAGTTGAACTTCTGCGTTAGCGCACCCAGACGCTATTAAGCTTTGCGTGTCGGCCAGAGAAGGCCAGGTACGATAGCATGTCTCTCTTTTGTTATCTCGCGATTAGCTGCAGTCGTCCAGTATGAACAGCGTCGACTCCCACTTTAAATTTCATATGGTAAGCTTTCAGCCCAGTCCTGCGGAACGTGGCCCCGGATCGACTCTGTGTACGTCAGGGTCCGTCATCACCCAAGGTCTTTCCGTGTACGTTTTATTCATGCTCAGAGTAGGGCGCATGCCAATGCAACATGTAGGGTCGAACACATCCCTGTAGTACCCTCCAACATATCCAACACGAAAACGGTCTTCCCACAGCCAGTCTGCCCGCACACTATGGCGCAGTGTGGGTCGCGTGGGGCAAATCAGTAGATGGCTTTGCCGCCAGGCAGAAATCAGTAAATGGCTTTGCAAGATCTCCCATTGTCTATATTAAGTTCGCGTCCGCAATTACGTACAGATATAATTTCAACTTGCCAGCGGGTTGAGCCTTCTTGGTAATCTGCATAGTAATTCCTTCGCTACCATTGTCTATTCTACGGCCGCTACCGTGCAGTTTATCGTCATCCGTGGATCGCATGTCCAACCACCGTAGCGTGTTTGTTAGTTAAGTATTCGCCGATTTGCACGGATGATAGGTCCAGGTCTTTGGCTATGTATGGATGTTTTGCTCGGCAGCTTTTTATCTCATCCCACTGCTGGTACGCCCTCGCCATGACTGAACAGCTGGTTGGAGCGCATCCTCGATGGTCACTTCCACCTTTTCAATCTCGGGGTTGAAAAACTTCTGGCTGTCCCCTCCGGGCGGCTCGTAATCCTCCACTGGGATGATCAGGATGCCTTTCATCGATCAGCCCGGCGCACGTTCAGGTTGATATTCCACACAGTGTCGCTCTTATCCGCAGCGATGGATCTATGTCTCAGTATGCGATCGTACAGGATGGCCACATTCCCGAGTACTGGTTTCGAACCTGCCTGGCCAGCTCGGGTTAGTGACCATGTCGAACTCCAAGGAGAGATGTTGTCTATGGTATAACTAGCCTCATCGCCGTTCGGCGTAATCACGCACTACTTTGCTGTAGTCGTTAAACGTGAGCTCGTATTCAAGCCTATCACCCAGCTGAGTGGTAAAGCGGTAGCGTGTTCCGTGGAGCAGCTCGAAGTCAGTGAGGCGCATGCAGAACCAGTTCCGGTATGCTTGAAGGCGATGGCCTTTTCACCGTCCGATGGCTTGTCTAACTGGTCTGCCGTGAAGGCATACCCAATGCGCGACCTGTAGTCGATTTGCTGATGCCCTGGTACACGTCATTGACGCGTTCTCCCTCGCTTTTCCAGAGGTCCCTGTAGCAGTGAAACACGCCAAGCTGTCGTCGATGCTCAACACCTCGTTACGGTGGTGATCTTGATGGTGGTTTTCTTGATGATGGCTCGACCTACCACGTTTCCCGCACTAGCTCACGTTTGTCGTTTAGCCGGAGGTCAGCGTGAGGTTGAAGCCAGTCGAACAGTGCCTGGTACAATGAGGTCATTCAGCGCCAAGGTTTGGAAATCTAACCAGCAGCGTTTGATTCTGGTCTATCTTGCTGGATTGTTGGTGATGGTCACCGACTGAGCGCACGGCTTTGACACCTGAAGTGGCTCTCTCGATCTTCTGGAAGGATCTAGTTTTTCTACATTACATTGTTATATAAATGAAATATATAAGTTTTAATACTAAATAATGGCTGAAGGTGGTTATGAGGAAATACCTATGGAGGATATGTGGGATGATAATATCCAGGATGGAAACCTCGTTCCCCTTAAATTACTGAACTTGTACAGTCGGCCGTCGATGATTATTACGGCGCGGTTAGAAAATAAAGACAACATCAAGCCGTTGGGGAGGGACTATTCCAAGTTTATGGTCGATAACAAAGGGGCACGCTGCGATTGAAGGCTTACCCGTGGGCTGATATCATAAAAAGGCGGAAACCATATGCTTTGTCAACACTCACAAGTCGCCCTGGTGGGAGTCAACTGCTCCGTGGGGAACTAGGCTTCATAGATTACGGTGGCGCCGCGGTCTAAAGCTTCCCGAAGGTCGTCCAAGATCTGCAAGTAGCCAGGGGTCAATACTGGGGATGCTAAAGAAACATCGGACGAGTATCGAAAAATATTGGCTATGCCGTACCGCTGACAAACCCCTTGCCTGGGCTCTCGAATTTCCCCTGAGGGAACTGCGAGGTTTAGACGAAGCCAGAAACATGTACGTGGAGAACTCGTTAACAGCATGGGAAACTGAGCGAGTTGACGAAGCATCGCTTCATGAGAAAATAAAACTCGCCGAAAGCAGACGATGATATGAAGCGTCGTGGTATCGAACTCTTGCTTAATTGGTCTTGATGTTTCACCAATATAAGATTGTCCACAGTTGCAGACAATTTTGTAAATCACACCTTTGGGGTTTGATTGTTTTTCGTTGTTGGTGTGATTGGGCCCGTTGGTCTGCAGTAGGTTGTTTAGAGCACGGTGAGTCGAGAATGCGGTGTCTACATCCGCTTGTTGCTTCAGGAGTCTGCTGATCTGGTGTCAGGTCTTGCCAATGTAGGGGATGGATATTTCTCAGTTAGCTCAAAATATTTTTGTGGAGGTTCAGGAATTAGGGCTAGGGATTATAGTCGCTGAAATGTGCTCACCGATCGAAAGTGCAGCTCAAGGTCCTCCAACTATAGCCTGGTGAACTGAGTGACACGAACATGAATCTTTACTCAATTTATAAGAATACTTTGATTGAAATCAGTCAGTTTGGTGATTTTTAAAATAATTATTCAATTTATTAGATGACTAAAAGGCAATCAATGGGGCTGACATCTTCAGGTTAACATGTCAAAATGGCAAACGTCAATGTTCAGATACAGTTCTTTCCAACGCCTAGTGGTGGTCGAGTATTACTTCGTGCTGGTTTTTAATGCACCAAAAAGAACAGTTACATGATTTCAAAGGACAGACACAGATTCCCCGTGCATTCCACCATGGAGGCTGTAGGTATGTACGAAATCCACCCGTGGAATGCTTTTAGAAGTAAACGTAATATTTGCTGTGATAGGACTATTAGAGCTAGTAATGATAGTAGTTGTGGTAGCATTGCAGAAAGTGAGGGTTTTTAAGCCAAATCGGCAATAATTCACCAAGCCTCCAAGATCATCCCTGATAAATACAAGTTGACTGGTATTATATTGTCGTGTATCGTTAAATACAATAGCTAGTTTTAAATTTCTACCTGTGATAATCTAGTTGATTTACTGTCCTTCGTTGACAGGTTTTTATAATTTACCTTTGATATATATTAATTCATAACTTGATTTAGTCACAATATGGCTGAAATATTGCCAAAGTGATTTTAGATTTTAACTCACTCACTCACAAGTTGACTGGAGCTGGAGAGTCCAGCCTCTATGGTCATATCTGATAAATACAAGTTGACTGGAGTTGGGGAGACCTTCCTGTAATTTGAATGAGAAGACAACCCTAACCGCATATTGATCTTCTCAATGCCGAGAAAGCTGGATCTTCTGTCGAGATCACCCCATTGGTTCGCTGATAGAACTGTTAAGACTGTCCCACAACTGTACTATCAGTTATTCACCATTTACTGCCTGGCAGCTGATGCTATTATAATTTCGTTACATATTATGTGATTATATACCTCTGAATGAGTTTAAATTACCAACCACAATCCTGTATTTAGTGAAGTCATGGTAGAATCACCATTCACTGCCTGGTAGATGATGGTGTTGTCCTATGAGGGTTTGCCCTCTTGTCTAACAACCAAGAGGTTACCTACAGGGAAGTGTTTTCACAGGTGAAGGGCTTGTGTGATTGTGCTCCTGATTCATCCATGCTTGACTACGAGAGGGACAGATGGAATGCTGCTGTGTCAGAGTTCCCGGATGTTGAGATCAAGGGATGTTTCTATAACTTGAGCCTTAATGTCTACAGACGAATCCAGAGTTCAGGCCTACAAGCAGTAGAGGATTACTTTGAATACACGTTTGACGTCCACAGCGCAGAGGTCGCTGCCTACCACTCTTCCCAATCCCACCCTGGAACCAGCACCAGAGAACACTGAAGGACCTACCTCGAACCAACAAATACCTCTAGGGGTGGGAGCCGTCACTGCTCGACCCCACCCTGGAAGGGATTGCACAAGTCGTCGGATGTTTGCTTAGGAATTCTTCGCCATTCTCCCTGCAACGCGTTGGCAAGTTCAGCCAATGTCTGAGGACGATTGTGATGTTTACGGACACGTCGTTCCATAGCTGCTTGATCGGGCTCAGTTCAGGCGAGTTGGATGGCCAGGGACGGATATTGATGTTTGCGTTGGCGAGATAGACACCTGTTACACGAGCTGTGTGGAGTCGACCTTTATCGTGTTGAAAAAGCTCCCTCTGACGGTTAAAAAGTGGGAGGAGATGAGGTCTCAGGATATGGTGGATGTAGTGATATGCTGAACTATCACGAGGTATCTAGGACATGGCTCCCCACACCATCACCCTCTCTCCACCACATCTGTCCACCTGTCGAACGCAGTTCGGCATAAAACGTTCGTTTTGACGTTGATAGACACGTTGTCTCCCATCCCGACAGGGGCAAACGCGATTCATCACTGAACCAAACGCGGTCCATGCGTTCCCCAGGCTCCATGCCTTTACCCTGTTGCACCATTGGACACGTTGTTTTGGTCGATATGCTGGAATTCCCACTGCTCTCAGACGATTTCTGATGGTTTGGTTGCAAATTCTTTGAAGACCAGCCACCTGTACTGCAGTGTCCGTTGCTGTAGCAAATCGGTGACGAAGGTGAAATACCCGGATGAATCGGTCCTTAGCAGGATGGTCGCTCTTTTTCTGCCAATTTTGGGACGATCTTGGGCGGGTATATGGATGTCATACTCGAGATATTGTGCTGTGGTGGATGTGGTTTTGCATTCCTCAGTACCTATGTTTTCACTGAGGATAATGATAATAATGTCACAGGGTTTAAGGCGATAGCCACAAGATCACACCATAGTGTCAAAGCGGACGTCTTTTTCTTTGACAATGGTCGCCCTAACACCCTCATATAGGTACCAGTTCATCATGAAAGTTTACAGTCAGATGATGTTCTCATGTATAGGTCAGGACAGGTCATGTCACTCGGCGCTCAAACTGACCATGAACGCAAAGATGCAATATGTTATAATGTGTACAGTTCACACAATACCCGTGACAGTTAGAGTCTACCATGACCACGTGATTGTACAGTCTCTTGCATAGTGGCCCATATTTATGTATCGGTAAAGATTCGCAGAGCGTATTGCCACCAACTGAGATAGTAATACATACATTCTCTCTGTGATCTTGAGAGTATCAGAGTAACTTTCTCCTGGTTTCTTATGAGTGTGGAAAGGTTTTGTTGCTTCTGTATTGCCTCAGCAGAACACCTACACAGAGCTGCCGTCTAACATCGTTAAGTGTGGCCTATGTGTTCACTGCGTAACCAGTTTCAATGTGATTACATCTACATGTATGGGGGCGGTGGGATTGCCTAGTGGTTAGAGCGTTAGCTCTTCACGCCGAAGGCCCGGGTTCGATTCCGAATATGGGTACAATTTGTGAAGCTCATTTCTGGTGTCCCCCGCCGTGATATTGCTAGAATATTACTAAAAACGGCATAAAACCATGCTAAGCCAGCCAGTCTACATGTGTGACTTAAGCAGAATCTATCAAGTCTCCTCGACATATCTACCCGTGGGGTTCCAGGTTAAGATTGATCTTAAGCAGCCCATGCTTGTCGTAAGAGGCGACTAACGGGATCGGGTAGTCAGACTTGCTGCCTATGCTGGCACATGTCATAGCATCAGCAAATTGCGTAGATCGATGATAATGATGTTGATCACTGGTTTGTCTGATCAAAACAAGTATTTCCAGACTGTCGCCACATAGACTGAATATTGCTGAGTGCTCCGTTAAAGAACATCCATATATGAAGTTACCTGTGAACTGGGAACAACAATCAATACAAAGTAAACATCAACTTTCCTTCCGGCGGGCCGGTGCGATAGTATAGTGATTAAAGTGACCACTCGTCACGCTGAAGACCCGGGTTCGATTCCAAACATGGGTATAATGTATGATGCCCATATCCGGAGTCCCCCGCTGTGATATTGCTGAAATGTTGCTAAAAGCATCGTAAAACTAAACTCATTCACTTTTCTTCCAGGTAAGACTTTCCCGAAAGTTAAAATCCAGCTTGTTGTATTCCTAGTGGGAACTATTGGATTTATCATCTTCATGTCTGTACACAGGACATTTCATCTTCAAGTGCTAGGGTCGTTCCACATACATCGGACGTGTCCAGATGTACTAAAGTATATGTTGGTTGGTTCCTGGGCAACACGGAATATCTCAAAGAAAGAGGAAGATGAGATTGAAGCGTTTTTACTTCAAGGCCTCTACGCTGTAAATGGAAGCGATAACTTTGAATTGGTGGATAGAAGATGCGGGAACCTTGGCTACTATCCATGGAAGTCAAAAGAAAAAATGGCTGACTGGACCAGAGCATTGTGTAACCCCAGGGGAGGTAACCCTTGTTGCTATAACAACACGTGTATGATGAAAACGACTGAAGAATGTGTGTGTAAGAACTGCTATGACCTTCGACCACAGATACATGCTGAATATTCAGACTGGATTCCTGACGACGACAGGTAATATGGTAGGATTAAATAATACATATTTCTGATGTTTAGCTTTTGTCAAATAACCTAGATACAGTGGATGCCCTCTAAACCGGCATTCGTTGGGACCGGCAGAAAATCCGGTAAAGAGGACTAGCCGGTTAAGAGAACCTTCACGTGTGCCGTAAAACTCGTTGATATTGAATTCTGAAGCAACCTGAATATCTTTCGCTCTTAAATTAGGGCCAGATTTTCAAAATGTCCGAGACTGTTTGGTACTTATGTGCAAGATCATTTTGATTAGGCCGAGGAATTGCATCAATATCTTTTATCAATGAGCGATTGACACGGTGAGCGATGGTAACCCACTGCGTTGTTAATCAGCCAATCAACAGGAGATACCGGATGCCGGTTTAGAGAGCGTTAATTACTGTACAGTCAATAGGACGGTCTCTGTTGTGTCGAAATACGGAATAGACTGACGCCGGATTAGAGGGCGTTTAAATGATTATAAATTCATTTGTTTCTGCCGGGACCAAATTCTGAGGTTGTGCTGAGGTTGACAGCATGCCGGATTCGAGGGCTACCGGTTAAGAGGGCTTCCACTGTACCGTGCTCCGCTTGTTTTGAACATGACAACTACTTTTTAGTGTGTGTGTCACATTCCCAGCAATTACGTATCCGTGAAATTTTGGTTGGAGAATACCATAATATACTGCAAAGTGATTCCACTATATCTTTGTTCAAACTGATCTGTTATATTGAAAAGTCAATGTATATAATGTTAATGTATAAAAAGTAAGCTGAAGAACACATATTGCACGTAATGGTCGACATTGTTCAAGCGAGATACGGTTAAACCAGCCTTGCCTTTTGAAAGGCTACTCTGTGTTATCATCTGTGTATGTTTCAAATTGTTTATTCTTTAACTCCACACTCGTCAACATTCCCGCTATGCGACGCTGTTGTGTAAATATGTAGTCTGGAGCTGAACATCTAGTGATGAGCATCGAAATGAGCACACGGGATACGATGACATGTGTCAACCAAGACAGCGAGTCTGACCACCAGATCCCGTCAGTTGCTTCTTACGGCAATAAGGGTTGCCGAAAATCAGTTCTAACCCGGATCTTCAGGAGTAAAAGTAAATCAAGATCATGCTGTTTTATTGTTTTGTGTTTTTGTTGTCAGATGTCAAGTGGAAACGTTCACCTCCAACGCTGCCTGTGACCTACTCCGGGGAGGCACGTATCACTTCTATGGGGACTCCGTTGTCAGAATGGTGTTCCTAGCCCTCATCATTATAATAAAGGGAGATAATCAACATGGCGGACTTCGACCAGATGCTCCTGCACGTACGTAAACATTTTCCTTCCAGTGGTTCAATCGTGATAATAATTTCACGATTCAAAATTGAAATAAAAAACGTCTTGCTAAAGAATAAAGAGTCTAGACTATTCTCAATTCTGAGAGATTTTGTTTATTTTAAAGACAAAAAGCAATCACAAGTATGTATAATGTATACATACATGTTGTGTATAAACAAATATTTAGATTACTAGCGACCTACAAGTTTTGCATTTTGGGCCAAATGAATCACCTGCTTTATATAAACTTAACTTTAGGTTAGGTTTAGAATGAAAGTAGAATGAAAGTCTGGCACTTTATAGTGTTGAGGAAAAGATGGCTACAAGACACATTGTTGTTTCTATATATTCAGTATGGCGGACTTCGACCTGACGCACCTTAAATTGTTTGTTCATCGATACCAGAGATTATACATACTGACGAACAGAAAGTTCTTGTGTGACACAGTATTGTGGAATTACAGCTATATTGATGTTTTCAGATATCAAGAAGAAATGTTCTGGAATGTATGTCTTTCCATCACGCAACTGTCGGAAATTCCTTGACTACACCCCGACACTCTGCAATGGAACAGTAACTGCGCTGTTCCGTCATTATCCACAGAGTTTGGACATTCCTAAGATGAAAAAGGACGTGGAACAGATTGTGGGAAAACCCAAATCGATCATCTTCTTCGGTGCAGGTTCATGGGAACAGTTTAATATACCTGCAGGGAGGAAGTATGCCTTGGAGGTGATCTCCTTACGAGCGAACAACACCTGGCCCAGACTGATATGGTCAGGTTTTCATTATTTTGGCCTGTTCCACAGACGGTTTGTATCAACATCAGACAATGAACACGCAGAAACCTTCAACGTGTATATGAAGAACCTCGTGGAAGCGTCTAGTGTCCCTTTTTTTGATACCTTCAATATGACGAAAGGAGTGAGGAGTGTGGATGGTGTGCACTATGGTCCTGGGGTCAACTTTGTTAAAGCTCGGATTTTCTTGCACTACGTATGGGAGCTACAGCGTCAAGGGAAGTGGTAGAGACACGTGTTAGAATACTCTCGGAGAGTGTCCGACTCTCTAGGTTTGAGGGACGCACGGTACATACCCTGAGTGCTGGACAAACCTAAACTTGTTGACTGTATCTGTATCACAAAGATCGGATTTTCTTGAACTACAAACTGGAGCTACAACGTGAAGAAAAGTGGTATTGGCATGCTAACACTGAGTTATAATGGTCTATTCACTATCGAATTGATATTGTTTGACAGTTTCATTGAAAAAGGAACACACCCTTTTATTTACGTTGCCTTTATGAAATTCCTCAACGCACTGTTTCTTTAGTTTTAAAGAGCCATCTCTACTAATGCCAGGTTTCCCAGAGCAGTTTCTACCTAACACTGGAACGAATACTGTTCTCAAATGAACAATTAGTGCGCGAGCAAGACCCTAAGAATTGGCCATGTCATGGCTGTCTACAGTACCATTTCTCTCTCTAGAATAAACTATTAATGGAAGTTGAACGATCTATTCTGAGAATACGTAGTGTTCCCATACTTGTGACAACGCCTAGCGCGTATGATACAACCAGGAGCAAATTTAGGTGACAAGCTCTTTCAAATAAACTCGCTAAAGTGATGAACTTCCTAGTCAGAATAAGTTATCTTTTTGTGCATCCTCGACTTGACAACGTCTCCGCACGTTCTTCACACAGTTATAAAATTGTCAGCTTTCTTATTGGAAACTATTTTACAATTGCAGACAATACAATATATAAACAGGGTATAGATCTGAAGAACTGAAGGTAAGTCAACATACCAAGGACATTGCAGCATCCGTCCTCCGTCATCTCATTCACCAACCTATTCAACTTCCAGGTGACAAATGTCTTTCTTCATGCTACTGAGAAAGAGCCAAGCAAAGAACTCTCGTGAAAACCTAAGAAACCCTCCATTTAGATATGTTTAGGAAATTAAGACAAATGGTTAAAGTAGGGTACACATACGAAGGAACTTGCAACGTCCGTGCTGCGTTTTTGTCAAGTCTTTGCCAAATGTATTTAATTTGCAGGAGACAAATGTCTTTCCTCACGGTCCTGGGAAAGAGATAAGCAAAGAAATCTTGTGAAAATCGGGTGACATCGGATTGGCTAATTGGTTTCTTTCATCCACCTGTGACCATCCAACGGGTGATTTTCCTTACAAGACACATACTTTCCATGGCATGACCGACATTATAATTAACTTACAAGGAAATCAGATAGATTTAACGGGTGCTTTGTTTTGCAAGACATGTATACTTTCCATGGCATGACAGACATTATGATTAGATGTACAAGGAAATCAGATAGATTTTACGGGTGCTTTGTTTTGCAAGACATGTATACTTTCCATGGCATGACAGACATTATGATTAGATTTACAAGGAAATCAGATAGATTTAACGGGTGCTTTGTTTTGCAAGACATGTATACTTTCCATGGCATGACCGACATTATGATTAGATTTACAAGGAAATCAGATAGATTTAACGGGTGCTTTGTTTTGCAAGACATGTATACTTTCCATGGCATGACCGACATTATGATTAGATGTACAAAGACAAGGCAAGCAAGACGAACACTTCGTGACAACCTGCTGCATGTTACCATGCTCTAGTGACCGAGGTTACAAGACGGTTGTAAATATCATTACCATGACAGTAGTTTGGAGTATTATGAACAAAACTTTGACCGTTTACGGAATTACGTCTGTATTTAATGTTGGTATTTAGTAAAACGTGGTAGGTCGGCAAGCATTGTGAATAAAGGAGGCACGTTGTGACATCCTATTCCAGTTGTTTGTTCGAGTTCTGTTTTTACACTCAGCCAGCAGTTTGTCTTAAACTTCACTCTGTCCCTGTTGCCCGTGGCCATCTGTTCATACTCCACTACAACCTGAAACACCACAATAACACTGAACTTAACAACAAGTAATATATCAAAGGGTAGAGTAATAGTAATAGTCCGCTCATATCCAGGCACATTACCTGCTCGCGGCGCTTCGTACATTACTATCCCCGTTCATAGGACACCATTGTACTACCCGATACGTTTTCAACTCTCTGGGGATCATACAGCCAAGCTGCCTGTTGGGCGCAGTGAACTAATCACTCACATTGCCAGCACATCCTCACGGGTACCCATTTTACAGCTGGTTGAACTGAAACAATGTGGATATAAGCAAATGTCCTTGGGACCCGAACCTAGTTGCCTCCACGGGGATCGAACCCGAGCCGTCAGCGTGATAGGCAGGCGCCTACCACTGCACTAGTGCGCTCCACATGGAGCGGCGCGCCTTGGTCAGTTTAAACTTACATCTTCCGCGACTGTCGAGATGTCCTCTGCTTTAGTTAAAACCCATAACCATCTTTAATGCTTCAATGTCTCAAACTCAGTTTGAGTGTTTGTAGCAAATACCTCAAATATGTGGTGCTCAAAGGCTTCAAGCTGGTGGATTTCAATGTCACTCAAGAACACCAACACACACCAGGTAGGCTAGACGTTCTGGAACAGAATGTAGCTCAAGAACACCAACACATACAAGGTAGGCTAGATGTTCTGGAACAGCATGTAGCTCAAGAACACCAACACACACCAGGTAGGCTAGATTTTCTGGAACAGAATGTAGCTCAAGAACACCAACACACACCAGGTAGGCTAGATGTTCTGGAACAGAATGTAGCTCAAGGACATCCAACACACACCCAGGTAGGCTAGATGTTCTTGAGTCACATGCTGTTCCAGAACATCTAGTCTACCTGCTGTGTGTTGGTGTTCTTGAGCTTACATTCTGTTCTGAACATCAACCTACCTGCTGTGTGTTGGTGTTCTTGAGCTACATTCTGTTCTAGAACATCTAACCTACCTGGGTTAATGCTGGTGTCCTTGAGCTGCATTCTGTTCCAGAACATCTAGCCTACCTGCTGTGTGTTGGTGTTCTTGAGCTACATTCTGTTCTAGAACATGTAGCCTACCTGGGTGTGTGTTGGTGTTCTTGAGCTACATGCTGTTCCAGAACATCTAGCCTACCTGCTGTGTGTTGGTGTTCTTGAGCTACATGCTGTTCCAGAACATCTAGCCTACCTGGTGTGTGTTGGTGTTCTTGAGCTACATGCTGTTCTAGAACATGTAGCCTACCTGCTGTGTTGGTGTTCTTTGAGCTACATTCTGTTCTAGAACATCTAGCCTACCTGGTGTGTGTTGGTGTTCTTGAGCTACATTCTGTTCCAGAACATCTAGCCTACCTGCTGTGTGTTGGTCTTCTTGAGGTACATGCTGTTCTAGAACATGTAGCCTACCTGCTGTGTTGGTGTTCTTGAGCTACATTCTGTTCTAGAACATCTAGCCTACCTGGTGTGTGTGTTGGTGTTCTTGAGCTACATTCTGCTTTCCAGAAAATCTAGCCTACCTGGTGTGTGTTGAGGTGTTCTTGAGCTACATCATTGTAATGCGCTTACAGGTTATTACATTATATATTCTGTACTACATCATAGTAATGCACATACACCTTATTATATTATATATTCTGCACTCCATCCTGTAATGCACATACAGCTTATTACAGTATATATTCTGTACTACATCCTTGTAATGCACATACAGCTTATTACAGTACATATTCTGCACTGCATCCTTGTAATGCACATACAGCTTATTACGTATACAGTATATACTTTTGTGCATCCTTTTAATGCACACACAGCTTATTACAGTGTATATTCTGTACTACATCATTGTAATGCACACGTAGCTTATTACAGAATATATTCTGTACTACATCACAGTAATGCACACAGCTTATTACAGTACATATTCTGCACTACTACCTTGTAATGCACATGGCGCTTATTACAGTATATATTCTGCACTACATCCTTGTAATGCACATACAGGTTATTACAGTATTTATTCTGTACTACATCCTTGTAATGCACATACAGCTTATTACGTATACAGTATGTATTCTGCACTACATCCTTGTAATGCATGCAGCTTATTACGTATATTGCTGCCAACAGAGTTGCACAGACGCGGAACAAAGGAACACAAGCACACAACAAGGAAGGTGATCAGGTTTTTATTCAAGGCTGCAGGAAGGCGTGTGAGACAGCAGGGCTCGAGGGGAGTCAGGAACATCAGCAGGCGTAGGAGCACAGGGCGGCTGTGCTGGCTAGATGCTGCTCCTAGAGGAGGTGTACTCGCTTGAGGGCGGTCGAGGCGGAGTCTCTCCTGACCACTGCACAGTGGGTCCTTATAAAGCTTGAATTTCTGTCCGTCCATCATGCCACCAGTGGACGGGGGGATGTGCCATTGTCCTTGTTAAGTCCTGAGTTACTGCTGTTTTTGGGAACCGTCTATGCACTACCTCCAGTGGGACAGGCGGAGTCATTACTATGAGATATTACCCTGTTTGTGGCAGGGGCGGCATTGTACAGTTGGTCAGCCTGGGGTCACAGTTGTCTGGAGCTCAGCTCGTTAATCCGTGATACTGTCCAGCGTGACCATATGCCAGTTTCATACTGAGGCGCGACAGCTAGCAGTGCTGAGAGGTAGAAGTTAATTATTTATTTGTTCTTGGCCGAAATTCCAGGTTGTTTTATAGCGTTGTTTGTTTGTTATGGAACCTCCGGTCCACTGAGAATGGCCATGGTGATATTATTCTATGCACACCCAATAGTGTAACACTCGCCCTTACACTTTTTAAAATCATTTGGGGAGCCGGTATTTTAGGCGTGAAATGTTCGTCTAGAGGGATGTCCCATGCGTTGTTGATTTCAGTTCCTGGTTTTAATAGTCAATTTCTGTTCACCCGAAATATACGATATATAGTTCCCGTACCAACATGGTATCGTGTATAGTCAGGAGCCGTGACCTGGGTTTATCGGGCGCTCGTCGTGGAGAGCAACACCAGGCGTTAATGCTCATGGACGTTACTAGTAAAAACACACCAACATAACACACACATACACACTGGTATTTGTTGTGTTGCCTACAAGGAACA